AGCCCACTTGGCTAGCCTACCAGATTTTTCAACCTTGCCGAGAACTTTTTCCAACGGCTGATCAGTTAAGACCACTATCTAATGGCAGTCAAAATAGGGCCTCAGCTTCCGAGCAGCTACTACTACCGCGAAAGCGACTTTCTCGAGTAGAGGGTAGCGAGTCTCGGCATCCGTCGGTGTATGACTGACAAAGTAGATCGGTTGCTGACTTTTGCTTTCTTCCTTCAGCAGTACTGCACTGATGGTGGCTGGGCTAACGGCCACATACAGGTACAAAGTTTCTCCTTCTGCTGGGCTAGCCAACGTTGGGAGTTGAGCCAGATGCTCCCGAAGCTGTTTAAAGGCGTCTTTTTGCTCTTCTTCCCAAACGAGCTCTTTTGTTTTCGGGAGTTTCAGGGCTTTGAAGAAAGGTAACCCCTTATCCGAAGCTCTGGAAATGAACCTCGAGAAGGCTGCCATTCTTCCGGTGAGCCGCTGAACATCCCGCTTTGTTTTCGGCTCAGGAAGGTCGAGCGCTGCTTTGACTTTGGAGGGATTGGCATCAATCCCCCTTTTGCTGACTATGAACCCAAGGAATTTCCCTGACTTCACGCCGAAGACACACTTCTTCGGATTCAGCTTCATTTGATGCTTTCTTAAGGTGGCGAAAGTTTCAGCCAGGTCCTTAACATGGTCCTTAGATTTTTTGCTTTTGACGATCGAATCGTCGACATAGACTTCCATGTTTCGGCCCTTTTGATCGGCAAAAACTTGATCCACCAGCCTTTGATAGGTTGCCCCCGCATTTTTCAATCCGAAGGGCATCATTTTGTAATTGTACACCCCAACGTTCGTGACGAATGCCGTCTTTGCTCGATCGTCGGGGTGCATGAAGATCTGATGATACCCCGAGAATGCGTCCATGAAACTAAGCAAGGCATGGCCACTTGTCGAATCGACTAGCTGATCGATCCTCGGCAAGGGATAGAAATCCTTCGGACAAGCCTTATTTAGGTCCGTGAAGTCAACGCACATCCTCCAGGTACCATTGGCCTTCTGAACCATCACCACATTTGCCAGCCATTCTGGATATTGGCAAGGTTCGATGAAGCCTGCCTCCAGCAATTTTTTGACCTCGGCTGCGATGTCTCGGTTCTTATTAGCGGAGTAATTCCGCTTCTTTTGCTTAATTGGTCGACACATTGGGTCAACATTAAGCTTATGGGAGATGAGGTCTGGACTTATCCCGGGCATATCAGCTGCCGAGAAAGCAAACACATCTCTGTTGTCCCGAAGGAGCTGAATAAGTTCACAACGGGTGTTCGGATCAAGGTACATCCCGATTGTTACACATTTCTCAACGTCTCCTTCGGCCAACTCAACTATTTCAGTCTGTTGGTCCATGTCCATTGCTGATGGACTGGACTCTTCAGAATCTGGCCTGCTGCCTATGTCAGCAGGTGTTCCAGTATTTTTGTTCTTCGGCTGGCTCTCTGAGTCTTGCTGTTCAGCTGAAGAGCTAGCCTTTTCCCTTTCGGGCCCTTTACCTCTGGGTACAGATCCTTGGACCGAAGCACTTAGGCCTTTTGGCTTTTTTGTGCTTGGCTCTCTTTCTTTTTCTTTCTCCTCCTCATCCTTGTCGTCATCTGGGCGACTACTGGATGGCTTGAGGTAGTTGCACCTTCGGGCGTCCTTTTGGTTGCCCTGTATCCTTTCGGGGAAGCCAGCGTCTGAGACGTAAATCATCAGCTGATGATAAGTTGAGACGACCCCTTGGATCTCATGAATTATGGGTCTCCCCAAAATCACGTTGTACACTGAAGGAGCGTCAATGACCAAAAATTCAATCATGACGTTCCTGGCTGCCTCATCGCAGCCGATGGTGATAGGAAGTGTCACCTTCCCATCTGGATAAGTTGAAGCCCCGTTGAACCCGGATACCGGGTAGGGTACCGGCGTAAGGTGCTTGGGCTTCAGCTTGATTTGATTGTAGGCCTTTCGGAACAGAATGTTTGCTCCGCTGCCACCGTCAACAAGGACCTTACTGACGTCGTGGTTGGCCACCGTGGCGATGATCACCAACGGATCCTCGTGAGGGAACGTTACCCCCCGGCAGTCGGCGGCTGTGAACGTCATGTTCGGCACCGGCGATTGGGGAGACTGAATGTCAGCGTTGTTCACCTGGTGAGTCAAAGCCCTAAGGTGTCGCTTGTGCTCCCTCCGAGAGCATATTCCTCCCGAGATAACATTGATCGGAGAGAATTTCCCCTCCGGCTTTTTACTGTTCTTCCGGGGGAAGTCGAGGTCTTGCCGAGAGTCCTTTGCTGACTTCTCGGACTCTTTTTTCTCGCGGTGATCCGCGATGTATTTTTTCAAGTATCCCTTCCGGACCATGTCCTCTATCTGGTCCTTCAGTTGGATACACTCCTCAGTGTTGTGTCCCGCAGATTCGTGGAACTCGCACCACTGATTTTTATTTTTTCGCTGATACCACTCTGGGAGTGGTCTCGGCTTTCGGTAACTCTGCTCCTCCTTCGTCACGCTGTAAATTTTGGCGCGTGGAAGAGAGAGCGGAGTGTAGGACTCGTATCTGCCTGTGTATGAGGCAGATTTTTCCTTCTTTGGGTCGCTAGCCGAAGATTGCTCCGAGGCCTTTGACTTTCCCTTTGCCTTATGGCCTTGGCCTTCAGACAAGGGTATTTGTCTTTGTTTCCCTCCCTCGAATTGAGGTTGGGTTTTCGCTTTGTTCCATTCTTCGGCTCGGATGAACTTATCCGAGGCATTCAGAGCTTCCTCCAAGGTCTGCGGGGTATGCATGACCATGAAGTCTAGGAACTTCCCGGGCTGAAGGCCATTCTGCATTGCAAAAACGGCTAGCCTCTGGTCCAGCTGAGAGACGCTTGATGACTCGTTACTGAAGCGGGTCAGATATTCTCGGAGGCTTTCGGTTTCCCCCTGTTGCAGACTCATGAGTTCTGCAGTAGTCTTCTCTCGGCGGTTTGCCGTGGAAAACTTGCTCCTAAATTTGGAGGACAGATCATCCCACCCTGTTATGGAGCCTTGCTTTACTCCCTTGGAGATCCACGCTTGCGCGACCCCCTTGAGAGTGGTTGGGAAATATTTGCACCAAGTCGCTTCGGATCTGGGGCAAAGATGCATATGAGTCTCATACGAGGCCACGTGGTCCTTCGGATCCGAGGTCCCGTCATATGTGATGTGCGGCGGTATTTTAACCGTGGGCACGCGCTCTTCCAGTATCCATTGCTCGAATGGAGAACTGACGGGTAGCATAACGGCCTTGCCCTTGTTCCTGGCCGAAGGGACCGCGCTCCGCCCTCTTAGAGAGGTAGGAGTGGTTTTCGTCCCTGGCTGGGAAGTCTGGGCCTCGGCCGCAGGGAACGAGAGGCGACTGTGCACGCTCGGTTCCTTGCCGCCGAGTCGGTCGAGGACGCTTCGGCGAACAGTCTCAGGTTGTTCTCGGTGAGTAGATTCTGGCCGAGAAGCTGAGCTGCTGCTCTTATGCGTTTCTGGTCGGGAGGATGAGGATCCTTTGAAAAATTGAGGGTTCTTTTTCCTCTCTTTTTCAGTTTTCCAGGTATCCTCTTCCCACTCTCCCAGTTCCCGGGAGGAAGGAAGCTTCCCACCATCATGGCCTAGCTTCCTCCGTTGATGCCGGGTATGCGGAGGAGTTCGATCACGAGGTGGTGGCATATTTTGTGCCCTCATTGCCTCCATGAGCACTGCCAGCGCTCTTGCCACCTCCTCCGAGCTGGGCCCCGCCAAAGGGGTCCTCGGCCGAGTATGGGAATGAGAGCGCACAGTCGATGGTTGGCTTTGGGGCACTGAATGTGTCCTATGATCGGACTCACCCCTGCTAGACCGAGAGTGACTCGGCCTATGATGAGAGTTATGAATTACGGGAGAAAGGGAATCCTCCCTGTATGATCCTCCCCCCGAGCTGGCACCCTTGGGAGAGTTCCGGTCCGGCGAGGGTGATGGTGTAGGGGTTTTAGGCTTTTCGCCTGCTCCTTGACGGAGGCCTTTGCTCTTGCGGTTCTTAGCCATTGCTACTAAGATTATTGCAAGATGATCTTGGTTAGAAATTTGGCTTAAAGATTTTTGAAAGTCCTCCCCACAGACGGCGCCAAATTGTTTCGGGTGAAAACAATGGGACCTTGTCGAAGGTCCGATGAAGTGGAGAAGACTAGATTCGATCCAAGTAATGTTGGGCCGAAGGTTTCCTGCACAGTAAACACACGTAAACTAGCCTCGGGGGTGTTGCCGAGGAAGGCCCCTCCGATGCTAAAGTCAGTACAGTGTGTAGAAAGAGAACACTATGCAAGAGAATTAATTGCTTGAGGCTTTGCTTGAATGAATGTACAAATGTAATATTGATGGCTTTTATACCTTTGCATATATGGAGAAGTTGGGTCTTAGCCCAATTGGCTTGCAATGAGGACTGATCTTTGACTTTAGCACAATTGGAGAGATGAACCTTGACCTTGGGCTTTTAATTGGATCATTTAATGCCTAGGTCCAATTGGACTAAATTGGACCCAAACACTAATAATTAGAGTAAGTTAAAGAATATTAATATTAAAAAATAAAATTTGCAAGTTCGACTAAACTGCTATAAGATGTTGTTTTCCACAATATGACATACGTTTATTTATTTTATTTTATTTTGTAAAAATTTTGATAGACTTTTAGCTATGTTTTACTTTAAATATACTTTTTTAGTGCTTTTAAAATGCGGAATTCTTATTTAACACTACTATTAAAATATTTTTTACGGATTACTATTTTTATATAAAATTGAAATACTAAGCAAAAATACAAATATAAAAACAATTATTATAAAACATTATACAGCTATATATCGCAGGGTTTAATTACTTTAATACTAGTTTAAATATTAAAAACACACGTGTAAAAGAAGGATAAAAAAGATAAATTTTTAACCCTTTAGAAAAACTGAAAGGACAATGTTAGCCACTACTCGTAATTTGTGTACTTTCTATTTATATTTTATATGGAAAGTTCCAAGATTCAGCCTCTCAAATTGGGGAAGCAAGAAATGAAGAAATAGTGGTGTCATTTCTGATCTCTCACTTAAATCATCCAATTTTAGATAAAACCGGAAATTTGAGATTTGCAACATTAATGGAGGAATTACCAGTCGAGCTTTGCCTTAAGATCTTCTGTTTCTTGGATTATCAAAATTTGTCAACTGCTCAACAAGGTTAGTTAACAACCAACCAATTTTTTCAACAACCAATACTTTTAAAATGGAATTATTTCATTTTCATGCTGGAATTCTCTCGTTTTTCTTTTCATTGGTTAATTTTATGTTAATTTTGTGTTTTATGATGGTCTAGGTTATATAATTCGTGCAATTATAATGTTGACTTTGGCAATATGGTTAAGAGATCTGAATTGAGGAACCTGAATTTGTTAAAATAATTGCCAATTTCAGACCTTTGTGATGTTATTTGTTGATGAATGTTGTTTTTTTTTTTTTTTTTTTTTTTTTTTTTTTTTTTTTGTGGGAATTAAGGAATGATCAGTTTGGAAGTAATTAGATTGCAGGTATCAGTTTGGAACTCGGATCCTTGTCCCTCTTTTTGTCCATTTCTTTTGACAGGTGTGAACTATATCATCATCTGGATATTGAGGACAGTCTTTGAGGTCATAGATTTCAGTATTTCACTAAACTTAATTAGGCTGCATATTGTAGTTTTATGAAGGTTGAGTACCTCTATGATTATTTAAATTAGCTCGGTAGAAATCACAAGATGTTAGAATATATTTACTATACATATAATCTTCCTTAATTGTAGCTCTTAGTCAATTGAATCCTTGATCACAGTCCTGTAATTATTTCTTTACTATCTTTTGCCTAGATTATAGCATTGTATTCCATGTATAAATTGGGTTGAACATGAATACAGAAGGCAACGAGTTCAATCTCTTTCACAAGACTTGATCGTATTTTGTTGATCAGTAGGTATGATGAAAGAAAAAGGGAGCATTATTGGGCATGTGTGTTTTATTTAGGGGTATACTTCTATCTAGTGTGCTCTCAGTTGAGTGAATGTGGATCTTTGGTGTAAAGTTTGCAGGAAATGGAAAGTCTTGGGCTCTGATAACATTTTATGGGCTAACCTCTTCAAGGAGAGGTGGGGTGAAGATCGTGCTGTGTTCTACACTCCAACTGATTCCAAGTCATGGAAAGATGTGTATATAGTGCAAGACCGTTGTGATCGTGTTGGATTGTAAGTTTCAAATGCTCTATGGTTCCATTCCATATCTTTATTTCTAGATTTCGCATGCAATACGCCCTATGTTTTTGCATGTACCTGAAACTGGAATTATAAAAGAGAAGAAGCTAGCATATAGCAGCTTTGGTAGTGTGTTTATTTGATTCTGTTGACTGTCCTGTCATTTCTTGAATCTGAAATCTGTTTGGTGATTTCAGAGGATTGATGATAATTAGGGAGGGAGCTGATTATTACGTAATATACCGTGGTGAAATTCAAAGTTATTTGGGTTCAAGGAGACAGAGGAAGGGGCAGGAGGCCAGCACTTTGAGCAGACAGGGTGAACTTGCTCAGGAAGGGTCTTTGGTAGGAGGACCCAACTATGGGATCCTAGAGAGCATCCTTTTCTTCATTGGGGATCTGGAGGTCGCTTCTAACAAAGCAAAACAAAGCCGATTAATGTGAATGAATTGAAGTGTACAAGCCCTTATGTTAACCACAATGTCTGTAAGCTTACTTCTCTGTTGTATATGTATAACAAATCTTCGCTTGTAAATCTCAGTGGATGATTTGTGTCTGTTCATTCCTTCTGTAAAGTTTAAGTTGGTCGAACCATCTATTGTTAAAAAAATGGTTCTATATGTATGAGATGATTATTTTCGTCTCTTAGTAGACTGAAAATAGTTGTCACATAATTTAGCTTCTTACAATTAAGGACAAGTGACATTACTCTGTAATTCAAAATAACCTTTTAACTGTATATGATAATTGATAAAGTGTTAAGTAATTTTTACCTCGTCAATTTTTATTTTTATATTTTTTTGGATGTTTGATTATTAGGAAATCCCATTACGTTTTTTTTGGGGTGCGAAAAGGGCAATACATATAACACTACTTGTTACGAGTATAAGAAAGATAAGCTTTTTCTGTGGAACTTGTTCTCCATTGCAAATTAATCTTGTTAATGCTTGTTTACGCTTTTTTCTGTGGAATTAGTTCTCCATTGCAAAGTAATCTTGTTAATGCCATCATTTGTTAGGGACCGACTTTAATCTTTAATTTATCTCACTACATAATTTATTAGTACTTTCTATTTATTAATAATTTATATGAGTGTATGATTATTCGACGAAACAGAGGCAAAAAATGATTTTGCTAGATATAGTTGATTATTTGCCCCAAAGAAAGCAACAGTTATCTGGAAGATTGGTAAATCAAAAGGCCAAATATGAAGATGAAGATGTAGATTATGAAAGTAACTAGTATGAAACATGTCAACGCTTGAACAAACTTTTTTTTTTCTTTCTCTACTAGTCTGTGAACAGACTAAACAAGAACAATTGGATATGAAACTTCTCGATTGCTCTCAAATAAATTGTGATAACAATCTCATAATCACTTGCTCTAATTGTTTTGCAAAAGAAATTGCTTACAAAATCAATTCAATATTAAGAGGAAAAAAAAAATTCTCCAAAAAAATCAAGGGACAAAAATACATTATATGATCAACTGTTCAATTGCATAACAAATAATGTGGAGCCTAAAGAAAAAATTGGCATATACTCACGGACTCACCATCCTCTGAACTCTTGGATAGGAGAGGACGGGAGGTTATAGGGTAAAAAAAATCGCCACCTAATGCATTAGTGAACAGCTATGCAGACTCAAAACTACATACTACTTCTGCAGTACTGAAGTACCTTGTATTTCCGTGTATTCTTACTCGAGTTTGGAGCAGCAAAACTAATTCTTATAAGAATGATCACCATTTAAACATCAATATGCTTCTGAGATGTAGCTGTATTGACTCTATCATGACGCTTTTCATGGGTTTTATATCAATCTTTCGCGCCTATTACTTCTCAAGCTTAGATGCTCAATGGCTCAGCTTCAGTATCTCTTTCCTTGAGTCCATATTCTGTCTCTGTTGATAGATTGATACCAGTATTATAAAGCAGTAAAGCTAGATTGGCATAAGAATAACAAGAACCATTATTAGAAAGCAAATGAGCGTTCATTCTACTTACTAGGTTTTTCAGAAATCACCATGAGTCGCCTCTGCAATATAGAGGCCACGAAGAGGAAGATTGAGCACATGCCAAACATGACAGTGATGGGAAATGCATTGACCTTCAAAGACACAAATAAACATGAGTTAGAAACAGAGCAAGAGGCAAAGAGATTGGGTGGAATATATGATGAGACTGAATAACGATTAATTGTAATACAGAACCACACACAGTGACACTCTACATCCACCAAAACAAAAACAAACTTAGATGAAATTAAAATAGAACAAACAAAAATATAAAGAGGAATGCAGAATTAGTTCACATGGTAACATAAATATTTTTTGAAAAATTAATACTGAGGTAAGGATATTTGGTGACATACGTTATATAGAACAACGCAGACAAAGATATTAAGTGGAATGCGGAAGAAGTTCATGATAGTACTCCTAGCTTCCTCTGGAATATACTGGGATCTCATCTTCATGATAGATGGCCAAAATATTCCCACACATGCTTCAAAAGCACAGAAGCCGAGAACCTGGATACAACCTGAAAAACTGATGCCACCACCCCTCACCTTTGACGGCTCTACAAGGAACTGTAAGAATAAGAAAGTCAGAACTATTACAAGAAAAATTCAAATCCAATCTAGTTTGATATCGGAAGTGGAGGTCAACATACATTTGTCACAATTGGTAGCAAGAGAGAGACAGCAGAGATGGAGAAAACCACTTGCATATAGCTCTCAACTCTAGGAGATGAACGAGCCAAAAGCCGAGATGCAATGGAGCTTCCCAACATTGAAGCCAGCATGAAAGTTGCAAATATAAACCCATGTGGAATTTCCTCATCATTTGGGCTCAATGCAGGGGTCCAGAGGAATACAAAGGTATACATAGAACCCTCAAACAATGACTGAATGGCTCCAAGTAAAGCTATTTTCTCATCTGAGCATATATAAATAGCATTTATCCACAAATTAGATATCAAAAGGACTGAAAAGAATCTAGTCACAAATATTACAAATTTACAATCACTAAAGATCATATTTTTTACACATCCTATAATTTTCACATTTAAGAAAGTACCAAATAAGTCAGCAGCTCAAAACTAAGATTAGATTACAGGGAATAATGATTGGAAATATAACATACAGAAATACAGGGCATCTACCGTCATGTTTCAAGAAAAACTTACCCGAAGCAATAGCTATTGCAGCACCCTTGAATTGTGCAAGCAAGTCCTTATTCTCTGAAGGGTCTCCATAGTTCTCAGTCCATGATGATAAAATGATGGCCATGCCTATAGCAAGAAGACATGCTGCAGCATCAAAGGGCGCTACAGGCCCAAGCCCGAATGTATCCACCAATAAATTTCCAAACAAGCCAGAAAGAATAGCGACAAGACCGTTTCCAAGAAAAATTGCTTTTGAGAAAGTTACAGAGAGCCATTGTTGTTCAAAGCCCCTCTACATAAATCATAGGAGAGAAGAAAGCCATAGTCAATAGAATAGATAGCCAGAAGATAAAGTATTCAGGGGCATGTTCAAAGTGGACAGAACTAGAGAAAAGGCAAAGACGCAACAAACAAATAAGCATCAACTCAAGGATAAAAGAAACAAATTGAGATGCAACAAGCCAAATATAAATTAGACAACACTCAAATTCAAAGTAAACTAAATCAGACAAAGTGCAGAAATTCACTGACCATATAAGCATCAAACCAGGGATATAGTAATATTTTTTTTTTTAAAGAAAATTAAAAAAAAACAACTATTATTATTAAGATGCACCAAGCCAGATATACATAATCCAACCATTATGATTAGAATTTCATGCAAAGAAACAATATTCTTTAAAGACCGAATCATAACCCCAAAGAAAATAAGTGCAGGAAATAATCAAATACGAGTAGTAAACACTTTTGAAACATTTTTTTATTTTTATATTTTTTCAAAATAGAAAGTGTTAAAAGCATAAAACAAACATCCATGTGGTAGTACACATATCTGACCCTAAATCTTTTTTATCAACGAAAATTATACTTCATGCAAACTAATTAGCACAGCTAGCCAACCATAAAAGGGAACCACATTTTGGCCATCCATATGGTTGCTTAGTTTCTTTTGCTACTCCATATAAAGTACAACCACTTTTGTTCAATATTTCCAAAGGCACTATAGTGGCATGAACTTCTGTTTTCACAAATCAGGAATTACAAATGTCATTATGTCATGAAGACACAGGAGGTATTGTATAAGATAGGATTTCAAACAAATGTATTTATGCCAAGAAAGCAGATATAATCATGCCAAGTGATCTGAAACTCACCTTGTTGTGCTCTGCAACAAGCCATGACTCGAATGCAGAGAATAGCAGTGATGTGGCAATGCCTCCTAGTATTCGGCCCAGCATCAAGACTTTGTATTGAGGAGAATGTTTGGTGATGCAACTCAAGATGTAGGTTATGCAATAAGTCACACATGCCCTCTTCCGGCCCCTAAATTTTTGCACAGTATTAAGATTTAAGAGAAAAGTAAAAAGCAATAGAACATTAAGAAGTATCAGAAAAAAAAGTAGAAGGAACTATTACTGTTTGTCAGCCAGAGATCCGACAATAGTCCCAAATAACATGGAGGATCCAAACCCAGCAATAAATAGCTGTCCAATGTCCCCTTTCCCAAAACCATAAGTACTATATAGGTAGTATACATAAGGACCCTGCAACCAGTCGCCAGCTGTTCACATATAAACCGTTCAATTAAAATCACTCTTACATTCTCATCCACAATTCAATGGCCAAGTAAGAACAATTCAGCCTATGGATGCACTGATTGTGCTTGAGCTAGCCCCTCTCAAAGAACTAGAAGCAGGTTAGAGACGGTAAGAAAATTAAAGAATCTTCTGGGCAAGACAAGCAATTGACTTCAATCCAGATTGGAGATGGGAAATGAACATGCAATGGTACAAAAGCCGTAATAAAACATTATTGCAAAGTCATCATCTCATAATAAACAAGAAAATATATGATTAAACATAGCCCACATACTCTAATACCATCAACATGTAGTGCATATAGCTGCAACCAATAAACCCCTAAAGCAACTCCAACATTATGACTAATTACATGACCTTTCATAGTTTCTACAAGAAGGAAATTCTGAGCTTTTACCTTCATACTCTTGGTCATTGATTCTAAGAAGTCATGTTTCTAGAAATCAGTAACTGTTTTTGTACAGCATACCTGAACTAGTATTACTGAACTCCTGACGTGCGTACCAAGGGATCTATATTACCATGATTTCATAAGCTAAAAGTACCTTTCATAGCTTATGAGGAAACATTACTTTGCAAGCCGGGGCAACCACTCAGTTTATCTCACAACTTGGCCTTGATCACAAGAATGCATAATCTTTCAATGTATCTGGATACTCTCTTCAAACAATTGTCATTTAAGACTTTCCCTCAAACGGTAACAAATTGAATAAATTACCCAAATCTTATTCAATCACGTGCATTTAAATGATGGTTGTAGATTACAAATGAGGTTAAAGTCAGGGTAATACAAGGAATGAGGTCAAACTTTTACATTGAAATTGTCATTTAATTCTTCTTTCAAATAAACATCTCTACAACGACACTTATGTTGGATCAAAGGAAGAATAAAATTATGGTTTCGGGATAGAATTTTTTTTTCCAAAAGTTGAATTAGAAAGAAATTTAGAACTAAACTCCCAGCTAGTGGGACTATGGGAGAGCAAAAACCATATTCCCAATCTATATATATATTTTATTATTCTTATTCCAGTGTATAGAGAGCCACAAAGACGACAATGTAGACGTGATTTGATCCCACATTACGTCCATACCACCCCCACGACTTAAACCAAGCCTTAGCTATTTATCGATACCAATTAAGGCACAAAAAAATAAATATCCAAAGCAATAACCCACATTAATTTTACTTTAAGTTTCATCTTCAATAGTTCACCTACAAAATCTACATTGACATCAATTCTTTTGGACCCACATAATACAATGACGATTATTTAATTTTAAGAAACAAATCAATCCAAATCTACCAAACATCGATCCAACAACAATAAAAGTGCATATAAATCATCACAAAAACATAACAAACATCAGATCAAACCTCAAACAAATCAAAATTCAACCAAACAACCTAAATTTGTAAAAAAAGTAAATTGAACCCCACAAAATCTACAAAATCAAACGAAAATGCAAGAATAAGATCTAGAAATTAAAAGGGGTGAATAATTAAACATTACCCATCATAAGAGAATAAACAAGAACATAATTATTTTTGAAGGCATTGAAAGCGGAAGAAGTATGGATACGATCTTTATTGTTCTTGCTTAGCTCAATTGCTGCGACAACAGCAGCAAGGGATCCAAAAACCAGGTAAAAAAACCACTCCATTTTTACGAATTGAAGAAAGTTAGGAGAGAGAATTTGAAGAGAAAAGAAATGAATTAATCTCTGGAATTCTGGGAGAAATGGAACTCAAGCAGTGAGATTATATAAACAGAGAGAGACGCGAGTTTGTTGATGTTGAGGAGAAGAGAGGACACGTGGCGGAATGAGGGGAAGCGTGAAGAAGGGCGTAATTTAGTAAAATTGGGTGTCGGTGGATATTGAATTTGGTTGGTCCACGTCCACTCTTAATTTAATGCTTAATTAATCACTACACTCACTCACTCACTGAGCTCACTCACTATAGTGTCGTTCGGTCGATCTGCACTATTAAAATAGTTTATCTATATTTGGATTAGAAATATTAATTTTGATTTAATTATGGAGTTATGGACTTATGGTGAATTATTGAGCCAATGTGCCATTAATAATGGTGCTAGCTTGTTCAAGATCTAAAGGGTAAGCATGCAAATTAAACTCGCTAAGGGTTAAGTTGAAGAGTTGCGTTTGCTATAACAGAACACAACTAAATAGCATTATTTTCATCTTTTATAGATTGTTTTATACAAAGTAATATTTGAGTGAGCAATATCAAGAATATAGATGGTTCTCATATTTTGTATGTACAACCGATTGTACCTTGTGCATGGTATAACCAAGAATATCATTGTGTATATTTTGAAAGATATAACTAATAACTAATTGTACATTGAAGTTTCTCTTCAATATTATCCTTTCAATAAATCTTGGTCAAGTAAATAAGTTATTGTGTAGATTAGTCACCACAAGCTTTGTTTGATATATTTTTTGTAAAAAAAAAAAATATAAATGACAAAAACTAGATTGCTCAACTTCTTCTCATAGACTTTGGCTCAAATTATTTCACACTACTTTTTACATTTTTTTTTTGGTAAATAACCTATAATCAGCTCCGTATCTATCAATCATCTTCACATAAACTTGTACAGAATTAAATGCTACTGACTACATGAAATAATCAATATAGATAATTAACAAGTAGATCATACAAGTCAAATGAATTAGACTATAGCTAGCAAACAAGGCTCATATCATGGCTTGAAAAGTCACGAAACAAAATGCTTTTTAGATAAGTATGTGTTAACTCGATGTATAAGTAGCAACAATGTATGTGTTTTCACATGCCAATAAGTGTGTGGACTCGATGTATAATTAAGGTTATAGGATGGTGTTGATATATCTATATATTTTTTTAGGTAAGAAATGCAAACGTTAGATGTTAATGTGCATATAACAAGTACTTGGTATTAGGTATTTCAGCTCAAATACACCTCTATTATGAATGCTACGTATACTCGAGTAAAATACTCTTGAAACTATTGCTATTTTAATCAAATGGATTATAAATCCAAAATTGTGTGCTGTAATTCCTTCTAAGAATAATTGCCATAGTACATACATTCATGTGCTTATCATAGTCCATAAGAATTAAAATCATATCATAAGAAAAGACATGGGGCAAAATGGGGATGAGGATATATCCAATTAAGATTATCGCACCAACGGACCACCACAAATACAGATTGTTCGCTCATTAAAATATCTTCATCAGGCTATTTGTGGTCCTACCACTTGAACAAAACATCAATCTTATTTTCTGTAATCAAAGAACTGCAGTTTCTAACCCAAAATAAACTCCAAACTTATTGATTCTAACTTTGAAGCATTAAAGTATATAAAAAAAATGGCCACTTTCACTTCAATCACCCAGCACCAATCGATATCGTCGTCCTTATACCAAAAATTTCATGACTCAACACATCCTTACTCCTCAAAATCTAGTCTGTCCTCCTCTCTGATGGTCAGTTCAGCAAGAACTCCTGCAGGTAGCTTACACTACCGCGGCTCACCAATGGGTTTAAGCATCCGTAATGCGGCTACTAAACAAGCTAAATCACCAGGTATTTCAAACCTATCATCCTCATGAATGTCATGATGATAATTTAGGTATTAAAGATTCATTGATAGCAAGGGTTTTCTGATACGATATTACTTACTGCCTTTTTCTGACTTTCTGATGACTTTGTCTTGGAGTGATTAGCTGAAGAAGAGTGGAAGGTTAAGCGTGAAGTTTTGCTTCAGAACAAGGTAATTCACTTTCCCTGCAGATTTCTTTTTCCCAACCTCAGGACATATCAGATTAAATGATGAACTAAACAAACCCATGGAAGCCTATGATTTCCGAGGTCGTTCATCAACTCCCAGATGATGATCATCACAGTAAAAGAATGATTGGGGGGGGACAGGGCAGGGAAAGGATAGCACCTAGTTCAGATTTCAGAGACTTCTTGAGTATATATATTAAAGTAATGATATATGCTACAGAATGCAAATAACAAATATTTTGTTTATTAGGAGTAATTCCTTTGACTACTCATTACCAGTTTACCACCTAAACATATAACTTGGGTATGAGCAATCATGAAAATGCATGGAGAATAAAGTGTGTTTAAAATACATACAAGTCATAAATCACCTAATATATTCATATGGGATATATATACATGATTAAAAATTTATTATCAGTTTTTTCAATTTTAAAAGTCAGACAAATTCCTTTCTGACATCTGCATATCTGACTAATCTGAGATTTAAGTCTGATTAGCATGAGACAAAACTACATCCATTATAGCACAATAATCTAGGATTCAAAACAAAAAGTTCATCACAAAAGATTGGTGTGAGAGAAATAGTCAGTACCTAGCACTAGATGGAGTTTGTGTAAGATTCCGTTTCTGAGACTCATGCCAGTCTTAAGATAAGAATATAGCAAGAGACAGTTACACGAGGGAGTGATTTGCAAGACATTCATAAATGGCATAACAAGTCCTATATCTGGTTTCCTCAGGTAAGAAGTGTAGATGTTAAAGAAGCTCTGCGCCTGCAGAAGGAGAATAAGTTTGTGATGCTCGATGTACGACCAGAGGCAGAGTTTAAACAGGTTAGTCTGCTAACTTGGTTGCATTTAACTAAACTTAATGCAGTCTGAACTCTGAAACTCAGGCAACACAGAAACGTAAATTTCACCACCACAATTGGATAAAGAGACACTTGCCGATGATTCAAAGATTCACAAAGTTTTGAGTTAATTTAAAGTTTCAAATTTTGTGCAGGGTCACCCACCAGAAGCAATTAATGTGCAAATATACAGGCTTATAAAGGAATGGACAGCATGGGACATTGCTAGGCGAGCTGCATTTGCATTTTTTGGCATCTTTTCAGGCACAGAAGAAAATCCTAATTTCCTACAAGGTAATGAGCAGATTTCAGATCATCAGAATTACTTGAAAAATGCAGGCAACCCCAGAACCAACTAATCATTTGCTTTACACTAACAGAGGTTGAATCAAAAATAGACAAAAATGCCAAGATTATAGTGGCCTGCTCAGCTGGAGGCACTATGAAACCCTCCCCAAATCTTCCTGAAGGTCAACAATCAAGGTACACAAACCACTTAAGATATTTCCCCATATTTGATGCATTTGGTTGCATGTTCAACAAACTTTCTTCCTTATCTTAACATAGGCATGCCATACAAAACTACATCTTTTCTAGACCTCGACTAAACAACAATAAAAACTTCCACTCTTTCACATAGCATATATGTGGTCATGATTCAAAAAAATAAAATACTTTGCTATCATCTCCTGGTTTCTTTTCCTAGTAGGCTTGTACTTCTAGACTCCTAGTTTCTGCTCTACAATCTATTACATTAGTTGCTCACACTAATACCATCTGCAAAACTTTATATCCAGGTCTTTGATAGCAGCATACTTGCTTGTACTCAATGGATACAAGAACGTCTTTCATCTAGAAGGAGGTCTTTACAATTGGTCCAAAGAAGATCTGCCACTAGTTTCAGAAGAATAACTTGCAAGTTACAAATATAACGTCGAGGAGATTAATTTTGTACGTGTGATAGATAGCTTTTGTGTATAGACAATGAGTTTGCCTTACTTAGAGGTGCAGCTTATCTTTTTCACCATGACCCATGCATTTCCTGTACAGTTGTCATTGAGAAACTTGCACCTCTGCAATGGTGAATGTAGACTACCACTACATATAATCAACTTTGGGAAGATGATTATAAATCTAGGATCAGTAAAGAACCAATCACCTCAGCATGGGTTAAAAAAGATAAAAATTATGTACTTGCCTAATAATGATAAACGATGAAGCCTAAAAGGATTTTATATGATAAGAAACTGAAAATACAAAAGGAAAATAAGGAGTGATTCTGATAAAGATAATTGAATCAAAAGAATTACAAATATAATTCAATTCCTAAGATCGAACAAAATTTTGTTAAAAGAGAATCATACCTCCTCTGAACAGTGAATACTTTGACCAACAAGCATTTCAGAATCCGAAGCTGATAATCTTTGAAGGCTGGGAATGAGTTTGCCTTACATTAGTCTCGCATTCATTGCAATACCAGAATATGGATTCTGCTGACTGATTGGATCCACAGGAAACTTAAGATGAACAGATTGTGCTTACAGGTACTGACTGCATGCCCCTGGACATCCTTGAGCTCTAAGATGCCTTATCTCCCAAATCCAGGAAATTTAATGTAAGATATATGTATAGAATTGTCCAGTGGTTTAAACCTGCTTTATGCTTTCAATGAAGCTCTTGCCATCTCAATAGCACCCTCATAAGTCTGATTTCCACCAATAAATCCACTCATGTGCACAAATACACAGCCGGGGATCCCTGCTATCTCTGAGAGTTCTTCGCCCTCCAAACCCCTCCAAGGATGAGGCAAGGGCTTTCGGCTTTCAAATCTCTCGGGTCCTAAAGCCACTGCCTGCACCCGCCATGAAGTTCGTCTATCATCCTGCATGCAGTGAAAAGGAGAGTGTAAGCAAATATGAAATATGTACAGTGTACTAGGTACTATCATGTTGCTTGTGATTCAGGTATTCAGCAAAAGCATTCAGCTAAATTGTACAGTATACTGCAATTCCTAACACATCCCACCCCCAAGGCCCCAACACTCCTCCGTCAAAAAAAAAGGACAAAGAAGGATGTATATAGTGATCACATTAGAGTTGACAACGTAAGATTATTAGCCAAATGCTGACATTACCTCATAAATAACGTATTTGATAGAAGGCTCAACCTTCATTTCCTCCTCAAGCTCAAAGATGTGAAGCTTCCACTGTTCACAAGTCAAAACAGAAATAGGATTTTAGGCAAAAGCAATAAGACCTTCTTAGTTCTCATTTTGGTACCCCTACCATGTGAAATTACAAAAAAGAAGCAACTTCCTTCTCAATCCTTCCACCCTCAAAAAAAAAAAAAAAAAAAAAAAAAAAAGGAGAGAGAGAATGGGAGAAGCCTAGGGCAACTGGGCAAGTTGATAAGTAAGAATGCAATGAGCTACCAAGTACCAATCTGACTTGGTCCTCCGAAAAAGGGTAGCAGAAGAATAAGGACAGCAAGTTTGTTAAATTAGAAACCATCAAGGTTTTTCTAGTCAATAGTGACAAAATGTTCACTTACAGGGCAAGACTTCTTGAGCACCATGATTTCACCACTAGAGTCGATATCTTGCCTTGCTGCAAGACACTCCTGTACAATTGATCTAGCCGGTAACCATGATTTTGCATGAAAATGTATGCTCTGCAACATAGAATATAAGAGCAGAATATAAGCAGAGGTAAATGAATCCCTGTGTCAGTTTTATCCTGATCAACGGATCATGCATCCACCAATAGTTGCTTATCAGAGTTGTCACAAAAGAAAAGGAATCAGGATAAAGGAGCAGTTCAGATAGATGCACCTCCAAAAACTCATTCCCAGCCAATGTCATCGCCTTCAAAAAGGCATCATCTTCTCGCTCCGCTGACTGATCAGGATCTGTCCAGCCAAGATTCAATCTTCCCACTCTAGATGACAAGTATGTGTTAATGACGTATTCTGGTGATATATCTGTTTTGTATTGATTGATCCCATTGTCTACAGCATCAACAGCCTGCCAGAATAGTTTCACATCAAGATATATTATCAATAATATATATCCAATGAAATAAGCAGAAAATTTGCAAGAAATAAATGACGTAGATTTCATCCCATTTACACCTTTCCTCTGCCCCTCTCCCTAAAAGTATGAGAAGAGGTTCCAAAAGAGAAGCACAAATCTTGTTGATAAAGTCTTTGGGGCAGGATCCAATGCCCAGATTTAAACTACCCTTTTGTAAGTCTATGTGAACCCTATAGAAAAATAAGTGCTTCTATTTGTGAAGGACCCTGTTTAGCTATAGACAAATAGAGATAGAAACTGCATTATCCCTCATTTTCAGTTTATGCCTTGATTACAGTTCCAGCAGGTTATCCTCTCAAAGAGTTCTCCATGTAGATTATCACGTTGCACTCCAATTGTTTTTGAGATACTTGTTCAGATAACTTTATGTGCCTGGAATCCTAGAACATACAAATGACATTACATACCACAAAGCCCCTAATTCCTCTTTCTGCCACAGCCAAATCAATGAACTTCTTCTTCTTCTGCTTGAACGCCTTAATCCAATAAGCGGGGTCGGCTACATGAACCAACATGAGGACTTCCCAGGAGGTCACCCATCCTGGTACTACTCTCAATCACTGTGGCTCATGTCAAGCGATGTGACAAAGTTTTACACAATTTAATTACTACAATTTAAGATGAGCCAAATCACTAAATGGAAGGGTCAAACAAAATTTACTGGTACCCATCAGCAATTGTAAGACAGTTTTGATTTACTGGCAAAACTGATCAACTACAAGAGTTGTATCAAACATAAAACCATTGAGCATCAGTGAAAATAAAAGACACATTAAAAAACAAACACAAGAAGGCATCAAGAAGAACCCTTGACAACTATAAACAAAGAGCTTTACAATGTGACATCTGACTACCTCGACAAAATTCTTGTAGATAGCTAGAAACAAGCGATGCACATCTGGGTGTCCCTGATCAAGCTGAAGCTCCTTTGCAATTATCTCTTCTCCATAATGCTAGAAGAGAGAATAAAACAGATAACATCAATTATCAGTGTATAAAACCAGATGTCTATTACAAACAACATTCATTACAAATTCCACAAGACGGGCATCAAATATACAGAGCCTTGCAAGATGAAAATGATCAAAAGAGAAGAAAGACCTCATAACCAACAGATAACACTTAATGTTTGGATACCTATGCAAATACTAAGGGCACTTTCTCAATTAATAACAACTACCTTCAGTTCTTAGCCATAGAAACTTTCAGCATTTTCTAAACTTAATTCCCTGGTAAATGTGTTAAAAGAAACCATGGGGAAATAGCTAAAATAGTGACTCGTGTCACAGCCTAGTTACAAGCAGAGAATCAAGTTAGTTCCCACATTTTGACCATGAGATTAGGGATTTGACATCAAACATAAGGAGTTTCTCAGGACCTTCAATTCCACATTCCAATATCTAGGCTACAGACCTACAGTTATCCTATATAACAATTTTCCTTGTCCTCCCCTCGGTTCCATAACGGGAAAATTCCAAAACCTATATTCCTACAACATCAACATTATTACTCCAATGCCTGTAAATATACTCTTTCCCTAGTTGAGGTAAAGGAGGTTAGATTAATGCACTCTTATGTCTACCATAACAAAGAAGCTATAATCAATCAACGAATCAATATGTAATGTCCATCAGCAAGTACACCATTCCCAATAATTAGGATAAAAAATCACTCCATTGTAATCTTTAACTCCATAAAGAATTCACATAGCCAAACCCAATAACCTAACAACATAAAGTGTACAAGCAATTAAAATTTAAAATTGGCTATCTACAAATCCACAAACTCAAACAAGCAAGAAAAACTTCAAAAAACGAAGATTTGAGTCAAAGAGACATTTCGTCGAACACCTTGTAGACAAGTCCAGCACTACTAAGTTTAGTCCCGAACCCATGACCAAAAACCTCATCAAAACCCTTCTGATGATGATCATAGCGATCACGGGTCGGATCATATACTCCTCCAACATCTAGCACCGCATCCAACGAATCCAACACCTACCCAATATTCCAACAAAATTGTCAAAAAAATTCAGGTAAATTGTGCAAAAATGAGGAGGGAGGAAAAGGGTATTAAAACCTGAAGGTCTCGACTTCGAATGATAAGAGAATCAGCGAATTTGGTGGTGCGACGAAGGAGAAAGCAGCCAAGAGCTTCGTCGCAGTGAAAACTGCCGTTGTGCGTTCCTACGCTCTTCGAAAGGTGGGTAGTGGAGGAGAGAGAATGAGAAGAAAATGGCTTGTTAAAGGTCGTTGTAAAGGGTGAAAAGGTAGATTTTGGTCGGTGAAGAAGAAAATTTAGGTTGGAACTCCATAGTCGTAGGCGCAGTGTTGTCGCCATTGTTACAGACGATGGATTGATGGATATCTTTGAAAGAAGGCGCGAGGAAAAAGAGCGCGCCTGTTGATGTCTATTTTAGCGTCATACAATAAAGGGTAATAATACATGAGACATGTAAATAAACATATATAATCATATTGATTAAAGGTATAATATAATCGAAATATATGAAGGCCATAAAACTTATTATTCATATCTTTAATATGTCTTTATTTTCTTAAAACACTAAATTGAAAATATCATAATGAGTAATTATTGTGATAAATGGTTGCACATTATTGTGATTTATATTTATAAGTTTTCAATATTGTGAATTAAATTAGAATTTTTATTATATGTGGCTGGCCACACCGTGTAATCGGGGTTACTCGAGTTATTCGGTCAGGGGTTGCTTGAGATACTCAATCAGGGTTACTCGGTTAGAGGTTACTTGAGAGGGTTGGTCAGGGGTTCGATCAACGGTTATTTGAGGGGTTCGGTCAAGGGTTACTTAAAGGATTTGATCAAGGGTTACTTGAGGGCTTACTCGATCAGGGGTTACTTGAGGGGTTTTTGTTCAGGGGTTGCTCGGTCAAGAGTAACTTAATTAAGTAACCCTTGACCGAGTAACCCCTGACCAAGTTACTCGAGTAACCCTGGCCACACGGTGTGGCCATCCACACAGAAAAACCCCCATTAAATAAACTATTGTTTAAATTTTATAAAATTTAGTATTTGAACTTTTAAAACAGTGCAATTGCACGGGTTCTATACTAGTTGTTACTAATACCGAGTATTATGTAAATTTAGAGTAATTGATATAGAGTAGGCCCCGGTTTATCTCCTAGATAAACTTGGCATGTTTATCTAGGGGTGCTCATGTCATTTCCAGCTAAAAGGAAAGGGTATTATTGTAATTAGCTCGTGACAAAAGATATTGCCATGTTACTCCCACAAATTTTTATTTATTCGAATGAGCGCCAATACAAATTACAAATAGGGTAAGGGGATTTGAACCTGTGACCTATCGTACCCAGACCCTCAGTCTTAACCATTAGACCAAGACCTCATAACAGTAAACTAGGATAACTTACCATTATTACAAGAGGTAGAGTTCTTTTACTAACAAAGACGCATCGGAGTAAGTTTATTTTGATTGTCTACCTATAGAATAACATTAAGGGGTATTTACATTGTATATAATTGTACCATATACATTTATTATTGTTGTGTAAAAAAAAACATTTATTGTTACCTTTGTAACACATATCACCCCTCACGAAATAAATAAATAAATAAATAAATAAACAAATATTACAATTTTTGTAAAATCTTAAAGTACAAACTATTTTACTCTACTTAATCTAAAAATAATAAACAAATATTATACTTCTGCTCAAAGTTTAATTTAAATCTAAAGATTCTCTCCTACTATTTTTCAATCTTAATCTTCCATACATTTTCTGAATTTTCCTTATAGCATAATAACCATCTCGCTTAACTTTTGAGTCTGGAACATCTAAATCCTCTAAAACTTGATCACTACCACTCTTATTTAGTTGTTGTTCAACACTAGTTATTTGCTTAACATCTTCACTTTGTAATGCCTTAATTATCGTCTTTATAGCTCTAGTAGGAGACATCCGATTCGATATCATAATCTCACTTATCTCAGCCGGGCTTAACCGCGACCCGTTTTGTTGAAACAAGTCATCCACTTGACCAAATAGCTTGTGATCCTTACAACCCAAATGACTCAAAGCCAAAGCCTTAAACCCATTAAAGTCACAAAATGGGAAGTGAATATGCACATCAACTCTACCTGGCCTTAAAACCAAAGGGTCAATATGGTCTTTACAATTCATGGTAAAAACCATTACCCTCTCTTCACCACAACTTGATACAACACCATCCATAAAATTCAACACTTTAGATAAACTAATCCCATTTGATTCACCCATCATAAACCAATCCAAATTCTCAATCAAGATCAATGACTTCCTTGTAGTTTGCAACAAGAGCATCTTCAAATCTGAGCAATCCGATGGCTTTGAAAGATCGATATCATAAAGATCATACGACAGAAACTTTGCCATCGCGGCTGCAAAGCTAGACTTGCCCGTACCAGGACCTCCATATAGCAAGTAACTACGTCTCCAAACACGTCCAATTTTGTTGTAATATTGCTTAGACTTCAAAAACAACTCAAGACCATTCTTAACCTTGGTTTTCACATCATCATCTAAGACTATATTATCAAATGACGATGGATGAACAAAAGGAAACGATCTCCACAACGGATTATTTAGTCCATCAACACACGATGAACGATTGATATAAACTCGTAATTCCTTTTTCTTCTGCTCAATCTCATCAACCACCTTGTAAATATGTCGAATGTAAGGAACCAAAATCCTCTTCTTATCCTTGGCCTTAATCTTCAGCACAACTTCACCTCCATGACCATTATCGCGTTTTTTATTATACATCCAAATAACTTGAGCATGTAAAAACGTATCCAAAACATATCCATTAGAGTCTAAGGACACAAGAATATCACCCGGTTTATCTCCTGAATAAAGAGCAGCAAAATCCGAATCCTCCAAAGAAGGCAAAGATTTTATGTAAGTGAAGATTTTTCGAAACAATGGATTTTCTTGCAAATCATCATTGTATTGAGGGATTTTGTATTGATTATAGATATGAAATTGGTTTACTAAAATAGTTAAACACCTACTAATGATACAAAAAAGAGAAGTAAGATACAACAAACGAACAAATAAAAAGATGATTACTAATGAAATTAGTAACCAAACTAAGAACGAGAATTCAGGGATCATATTTTTTGAGAATAAAAAAACTATAGATTATACATTAAGATACAGAATTTATTTATAGACGAAAGGGAATTAAAAAGATGAGAACATATACATATATAGAATTAGTCAAAGACATGAGAAGTAGCTGCAAAAGTATGACTAATATAAGATTGACGTAGGCTTTGCTGAAAATGATAGCTTTATTCAAAGTTGAGCAGTAATAGAGTGAAAAGGAGATTATTCTATCTTTGAACGAATATAATGGTGAAGGCTTAAAAGAGTTAGGCTATGAATGTGAAGAAATAGAAGATTAAAGAGTTATTGATGGGATAATTTTGACTCCGTGTGTTGGGGATTAGTCATAGATGTCTCTGTTTGACACTTAAAGGCTGAAACTTTGCCTTTTGCTTAGGGTGGTAGTTTCCTATAAGAAGTGGAATTGTAATTCATAGTGACGAAAGCTGGTCGTTGAAAATCTGATAACTGAGGCGTTTTTAAAGCGCCACGTAAAAAGAGTTATTATATCAACCAATGTAAAAAGAGATTTATAAAACAAAAAATTATCTATTGATATTAAAAAAATTATCTAAAAATCCAACGAATGATAAGAGTAACCTTATTATAAAGCTGGTCATATTTGTTTATAAGAGTAATCTTCATTTATATGTATAAGTAACTTTATTTAATCATAAGAGTAATCCCATTTTGTCCATAAAAGTAACCCAAATTCATTATACGAGTAAAATTAAGTAATTTAGAAATAAGTAATAGTATTTGTTCATTCGAGTAACCCCTATTCTTTTGTTTTAAAAGATGAAATAATGATTCCACTTATTCAAGAGCGTAACCTCTTTTTCTCATTTAAGTAACCCACATACCTTAAGGTAACCCTATTTGTTCATCACCGTGACCCCTATTACTTAAATTAATTGCCTTATATGTGATTATGTGAAGTGACCACATCATGCCACATATAAGAATTTGTGAAGTTCTATATAAATCGTGCATCGCACGGATATTATCTAGTATAATACTCCGTATAATAAGAATACGATTACAACGGTAATAAAAGAGCAAGAGCCCCGGGTGTACTATACATCTCATTTGTTGAGCAAATGAGCAAATGATCCCCGCTGGAGGCTCAAACCGATTTGTCCGGAATTTGAGCTTGAATTGGCCCATTCGGCCCAAAAACACATCCCGACCCGACTCTTTCTACTGTATAACTTATAAGGTGTACTCTCGTAATCTCTTCAAATGAATTTCAGTTAAACTCATTTAAACTGATTTAAGATTTACTCGAAGTATATTGTTATGTACAATTCATGAGTTTACAGACAATATATTTTTCAATTATCTGTAAGTAGTCCAAGTACTTATACAAGCAACAAAAGAAGGGAGCATATCAAACCGAAGCATATATCTTGCACATAAATGCAGAGGAGTTTCAACTTGAAATCTAAAATGAAAAAGACTTCACCAAAAAAAAACTACTACAAAGTTTTTCTATTTGTCACAACTTAGCATTATATAAAAGAGGCTCATAAGACTCCATTCACAAAAACAAAAAAAAAAAAAAAAAAAAAAGGAAAAAGAAAAAGTAGGACCCTTCTCCTTACCATAAAAAAAAAAAAAAAAAAAAAAAAAAAAAAGGGTCATCTACATTCCTATACATAGGAGCATAAAATTATTATACACTTGGGGCAAGTATACTGCCGTAATTTTCAGGCAAATTCACAAATGCCTCAATTAAGTAAAAGGTGTCGCATCGTCAATGCAGATCTAGGTAGAAAGATCATACCCTCAACTGGAATATCCAACTTGTGAATGAGAAATTGCAGAACATTTGATTTTTCTACAACGCTGCATAGCACCAACAGAGCATATGAACACAGGAAAGATATAAGCTTCGAGAATTTGACTCCCATAAATACAGTCAGTTTTGACAGGCAATGCCAGCTTCACTGGAAGAATGAGAGGAGGCAGTGGATTATTATTCATTCAAGCTACAGATGTTGGCGAATTTCTGGACTGCATTATGATACTGTGTTCCCTGTAATCAAGTTTAAATTTTCAAATATTCAAGAGTTATGCCAAAGAATGCAAATTATACGGGTTCTAGTACCTCTAAATCCCATGAGAGATTTCATAAACAAACCTCACCCCATAACATATAACTACGAATTCTCCTCAGTAAAGTCAAAATAACATGTATGACCAAACTTCTCAGAGAGTTAAGAGTATTGCTAAGAGATGACTTTTCATGCTAATACTATACTACTATAGCCTCCATTGTTATTCCCACAGAAAAGAAGCCTACAACATATTCTCAACTTCTATGCAAAAAAGTTTACGCTCTTTTAAATGCATATATTTACTTTAAGGCAGAACTGCAAGAGCCTATGCCACTAATATGATACTCCCTGCATAATGGTTTTTATGACAGATAAATGTGCCTCAAACAAAGCGTCAAATCAAAATCATCTCCCAAATTTATCAAAAGCAATTCAACAATACAAGATGCATAACGAATTCATGTACTCCATCTGTCTGAAAATCACATATGCAATTTTAAAATTTCCAAAAAATAAAAAATAAAAAATAAAAATCCACACCTCCTAAAATAAGAGTATTGGTTTATGATTGGATTTGCCAACATGTCCCTACTTAATTAAGTGATTGAGAGAAACTAATACAGTAAACTTTTTATAGCATTAATAATGAAGGGTTAGGTTAAGGAGGAAGACGAAGTACATATAATTAACATTGTTAGGCATACTAAGAAGCAGATACATACCTCCCAGTATAGCTGATTGCAGTCCATGCATTGCCAGAATTCTAAATTCTTGTTGAACAGGCAATTAGGTATCTTCTGAAAACCTTTGGCAGCTTCAACAGCTTCTTCTGTTGACAATGGTTTTTGAATAAATCTGCCATTGCATTTCGTGCACCTTGACATTAGCCGGTCCTCGGAAATTTTTAGCTGGAATGTTTGAATAACCTGTGTAAAACACCTCATTATCAGGTTCCAGACAATGTAGGTCCATTCTTGATTTTAGCACAGACAGGCCCAGCACTTCACCGATATATAGGTTGATGGAAGAGGTAGCATTCTAGACTCGTATCTAGTGTTGGAAGGAAGGAAGGTCAACCATTCTTTCAAAATCTCAGCATTGCCAAAAACCATTTTTGCTCTTGGCAAGCAGTAACAAACTAACCTAAGGAGGGGCAATATGGATACTCTAGTATTATTAGGTTAGAGAGAGAGGGCAAGGAAAAAGGTAAGCAGAAATTTGCATTGGGAAACCTTAGAGAGTTATGGCCTCAAGCCATTGTGGGAGAGTGATAGCCTAAATCTATTAACCTATCTTATGTAAACCTTTTGCCATTGTCAATAAATATTCAAGCTTCCATCTTTATTATTTCTTCTTATTAAATCAATTTACCAAAAATGAATCAGATCATCAAATTTAATCAAAGAACCAATCTTTTCTCTCTATTGTACTGTTATTTGCGCAAGTTAGTAGTAATCTCAGCCCATTAGATACACACGCTGGTACTGCTAGACTAGTACTGTAAAAAATCTTGACTTATGCTTCTTCCATTTCTAATATCAAAGAGGAGTAAGTTTTGCAACTGATGGTTGAGAAATTAAGGCATAAGAGTAAGACATATAATGACACACAATTAACCACATGCTCAATATATACAACAAGAGGTGAGGAGTAGGTTTTCGGATCAGATTTGGGTAGGCTCCATCTGGTTGGGGTCATATTTGGATGATGTTTCGTTCACTCATTTAGATAGGTCTTGGACCGGATCGGGTCCAATACGAGTCAATTATTATTCTATCAAATGATTTATTACGATAAATCAATCAAATATAGTTAAATTAATTTTCGGGACTGTCAGCTTGGGCTGAGTTAATTTCGATTCCGATCATAGATTGGGTAGGGTAATTTGATTTGGGTACGAATCAGAAGCTAAACTTTAGTGTATGAAAGTTGAGAAACAAGTTGAACATAGACAATGTATATTGAACCTTTATGATAAACCATCCTTTCCTTCAACAAGTACTCATTCTCAATAACCAACAAGTGCAATTTGCAACTTAGAAATGGATAGCTAAAATTTGATTCTAATTTCAACCATAACATGAATATATCCAACTTGAATTTACTTACAAAGTTACAAAGTCAGATCATGTGTTACCTCAAGTAGCTGTTCATTCTTGAGAAGGCTCTTCACTCTGTATATTTGATTTTCTAACAAATAGTCATGCCTCAACAATTTGGCATCCCGAGTCAAGATAACCCTTTTCTCCTTCTGTGCCTGCTCTATTAGCTCCCTGTAAAAGATGAGAACAATGATTAACAATCAAAAATACGCATGGAACATTCAAGTACAGCATCTAAAAGCTAACTTTTACCTGCTCTCAGGCTTCTTTGAGTAGGGAGTTGCGGCATCAATTCCGATACAACGTAAATGTTTTGCCAATCCTTCAATCTGGAAATAGGTGCATCAGCTTGTTATATGCATACACAAGCAATTTAACATTAGATAAGTTATCTAACCACTTTAAAATTCAAGATAAACAGCAGGGAAAAGAAAAAAATCAACTTACCATCACATCACAAAGAAACTTTGGGTATCTGTCGCCCCCGTTTAATGACTCCCATGGTGGAGGGCCTTGCCAATCGTCATCAGCACCTCTGTGTTTTCCATTTAAACTTGATTTAGGCTGTTTTTTCCCCTTCTTTTTAGAGGTTTTAGGTTTTCTATCTGACTCATTCAGTAAAATTTTACTGCCATAGTTGGAAACAATTCTTGAAAGGGACTTGTCAAAGGGTATGGTCTGTCTGCTTAATGTGTCAGAAACAACCGTGTCCATGGAAATTTCACTTTTGAAAAGTTCAGTAGCTGTTGTTGCTCCAACTATACTTGAAGCCTCGCCAACTCGACTACGTACTATTCTCTCACAAGCAGTTGGCTTCTCAAGAACTTCTTTCAATCCAAGACTTAAACTAGGAAAACCAAGCACATCAACATCACTTGCAAAGTTCCCTGTTGCAGAACCAACAGAAGGATTACACAATGCCAGCTTGTGCCCTTCTTTCATATATAAAAATCGTACTAGCAAGATCAAGCACACTTCATATACTATCTGGTACTTTACTAGAACTAATAACACACAGACAAAATTAATTTGTAGCAGACAAAATCTTCCGTATAAACATGGTGAATCTACATTCATAACATGGCAAATGCAAGGAGTGGACAATCAGAAATTCATATAAACACTTTCGCAAAATATATGCTATCCAGGTTATTGTCCCTTGACCTGAATATCAAGCTCCAAGCCTTTCCCACTGCATAATTGCTAATCTAACCAGAACATAAGATACCTCAACCAAGCGGTGGAATACAATCATTGCACAATTCTAGGCCAAGCAGAACCAAATTTCCAATTTATTAAGTTATGTGTACAGCTTTCATTGTCAAAACTAGAGCAAAAGAATCAACTCTAAAGCATTTTATTAAAGCTTTTAAAAGGCTACATTAAGAAATTCTGAATTAAAAGGAATTAATAAATGTTGAACACTAAACGAAGTGAAAATTTTCCAAAACAGAAATTACAAAGATGAAGAAGAATCAAGTACCAGGCTTGACAGACCTTCTTTGTCAGCCTTGAGTTGGAAAATAGAAAATATCTCAAGTAGACAGTGAGCATCAATTGCTGAATAAATTTTTTGCTCCTCCGTAAGGGGGCGTTGAGACCAATCACTGCATTGAAGCTCCTGATAAAATGAAAGCAGACTATGAATTATACTACCTTTGTTATCGAAAGCTCGTAACATTTACTGCTTACAAACAAATTAAGGCAATTGGAGAAAGGGTGTTGATGTGGTGAGTGATGTAAGAAAGAGGTGGACAAAGTAAAAGAGAGTGTGAAAAGGTGTAAAACATTGTATGGAAAGAGGGGTAAAGCAGTAAAAGTGGTTTGCCAAATATGGAGTAAAGTGAGAGTGTTACAAACTTTATAAAACGGAAAGTATTAAAAACTTTTGAAACCGAAAGTAGTATGTGACAAAATCCAATTATAACTTGGGTAAGATTTCAATAAGACATACTGTCCCAGATTGTTTTTTCATGTGTATATAATTATATAGATGCGGACAGATTTTCTTTCCTAAACACCCGTTACTGCATATGAGGATAATATATGCTAAACTGAACCTAATGGAGATGAATTGAATCATACTTAATGGAGCTGAATGCTGAAGTGAACTGAATAGAGCTTAATAGGTCTTAACTGTGAACTGAAATTCTGAAAAATTAAGTCCAAAAGAATGGGACTTAAGGGACTTATCTTATGGCTGGGCATGATAATCGAATAATAGATAGCCTATAGGACAATGGTATCAACTCTAAGGACCAACTTATTCAAATAGTCGCAATAATCAGATTTCTCATCTACAGTTTTCCAAGCACAACAATAAAGAATCGAAATATTTATATTCATACCTATTTAAGCCAGATGAGAATAAAGGGAACGTTATTAAGATAACCAAAGTAACCCATTTCAAACCAAGGGTGGTTCTGAACATGTGCAAGGTGGTCGATCGCACAGGGCCCCCTAAGTGAAACTACTATAAAAGGGCCTGGTTTTTGATTTTAGAAACATATTTTTCCTCAGAAAAATGATTTTAGGGCCCAATTTAACAAAATTGCACCGGGCCACTTTCAGTGTTAGCATTTATAGCCCCGCCTTTGTTTCAAACTCTATCAAAAGATCCAACAAAGTGAGAATCCCTAAAAGCAGTGTTAAAATGACAATAACTCATAAGAGTTATTCTGCAAACAAAAGGAATTCTCAAATCCGATTTAACCCACACCCCATCACCAGGAAATAAAGAGAGAAATAATAAAAGCCATTTCCTTTTGTGGTTTATTACCAGTGGATGGTCCTGACTTCTGAGTTTGAACTTCAAAAGCATAATCTAGAACAAGCGTAGGGGCTTAGCACCATTGTTGGTAGTATGTCATGATGACGGCAAAGACCCGTTAACGAAGCTAGCTTCATAAGGTTATATTTTAACCATGAATTCACCATCATAAACCAAAAGGGAAAGAAAAAAAAAATCTAGCACTCATGATCATAGTAATTGTTGAGATAAAACAAAGAAGAACAAAAATTTGGGACACACATTCTAGCCGTTCACCAATAAAAGTGGGCTATGTCTACAGGCAGAGACAGATAATTTAGCAGTGGACCGATACAATTTCATAGCGAATCCTAACAGGTTAACTGGATTCACAACATCTCAAGATTCTCAACAATGATGCAATTCCACATTTCCACTATAAAAGAACATAATTCAGATAATATATGACTATCAGACTATGTATGACAATGAACAAAGCTCACCTTCGAAAGAGAAACTCCCAATAATTCCTCGCAAATGGCTGCCAAACTCTTACTATTCTTTCCTATCTTCCTTCCAATTTGCCTTTTCTGTAAGTGATGATATATGCTAGAAATGTCGATAAACGGTTCAACCTAACAAATGAATACGCTTGTAAGCACATTAGGGAAAAAATGGAAATTATAACAAAATTACACAAACCACAAATGTCACTCAATAACATAATTTATCATTCAAGCAGAAACCATAACTATGCAATGCAATGTCCCCCAACAAAAAAAAATTCATCAAACATCATTTCAAGATAACCCTAACAACCTTAAGCAACTGATAAAGCATCAAACTTTCAACAACAAAACTAAAGCACATAAAGAATTAAACATGCAAATTAAAAATGAACCTAATTAGTCATTAATTAAATAGAATTATATCACTTAAATAAGCAAACAACACGATAACTTGACAAATATGAACAGTAAGGAAAAATTCAGAAAAATTATCATACCAAATCAAACCCAGGTTCAAAACCATTCGAACAAAACGTAGAAGACAAATACACCAAATCCTGCTTAAACCGAAACCCCAATTTCAAAACATTTTGATCAACAAACATCTGCTTCAATTCCTCATAAATTGAACCAAAAGGCACTGATTGCAAGTCAACAAGAAACACAAGCGAGTCATCCTGGTTGTTGAACTGGGTCAACCCGGCCGAATCTGGTGGAAGTTGAACGAGTCGGCAAGCGAGTTGGAGGAGAGATACGGTCGGGAAAGTGCGGTCCTTGTCGGAGTCGGTTTGTTGGGTGGTTTGAGTGCGAACTGGCTTCCATTCTGCGTCGAGTGCGACGAGTGAGGAGTGAGTCAGTGCCCAATTCAAAAGGGTGAAATCCGGCGAGTTGGTGGTGGAGACCCAGTGAATTGTTAATGGTTTCGCATATGTTTTTTCCATCTTCGGGGACTGAGAAAATCGTTTGACGTCAAGGGTTATCATACCACGAACGGATAGAATACCCATTCAAGGGTTGTGGTGTACTAGTGTATGAACATGGTTAAGAACTTAGATTAGATCAATTTTACTAGTGATTTTGTTAAGCCGGTTCATTTTGTACTTCTGGATTTAGGAGGCCTTTGATCATAACATGGTATGACTTTTGGAATCAAGAATGAAAGTTGGATTGTATTGAGGTGGAACTTGATATTTACTTAAAAAAAAAAAAAAAAAAAAAAAAAAAAAAAACTTGATATTTACTTTATAATTCCTATATTTGGTTGTTGTTCGAAAATTAATTTTTCCTTTTTATTTGGTACCAGAGTAGTATGAGCCCTACTTATCTTTCCTCTTGAGTTTTTAAACACCATACCTTTGTGGGTTTGAGCATTTGAGATATGGATTTATAAATTAGTTTTTTCTTTAACAAACACTATGTATGGATTTTACTCATTCTAATCTCATACCTCATAACTAAAATCTAGGAACTAAATGACCCTTATTTATATACTCCGTATATCAGATAATATGTACTGTAGTTATGTGGTTTATTGTTATAATTGTCTCGATGAATAGTTTCTAAATACTTGTTGATCAAAGTTTTGCATCAATAAGAGTATATATAAATAAAAAAATAAATCAAATTAGGGCAATCGATTACATCATACTTTGCACAAGCTTGTGATGTTTGTTGGTTGATATTCTAATTCATGGAACGTCTATTGTCGTACTTCATAGTAGTGTAGTAAAGCAGTTGTTTGGTTGACAAAACATTAGAAATGAAGCTTTATTTCTCACAAATAGGTTTTTACAATGGATAATTCATTGGATAAACATATTCATTGGTCAAAATTTCAATAACTGGTAAGTAGAATTTTGTATTTAAAATACAACATTGTCTACTCGTATATCTTAAGCCTTTTACAACTCTTTAAACAAATACAAAAATACAAAGTACTTCAGTTCATATCGAACATGTACCAAGATTTTAGATTTGGGTTTCATACAATCATACCCAGATACCAAACAAAAGGCTTAAAATGAGACACTTGTTTTGGACAAACTTACTACGTATTTGCCCAACTCAAATGCTCAACAATCCTCCTCTCTAAAGTCAAAAGCACCATTACCGCCAAAACTCTCTCACAAATATACCGCGAAACCAAAACAATCTCCCGCCAAACACCTTCACCCCCTCTTATACCCCCAACAACACCAGCAACATCACCACTATTCCCCCTTTCTACTTTCTCTCTCCTCCATTTCCATGGCTTCCGCAGCTCTTCGGCGAAGAACCCGAGCTCCGAAACCCGTCTATAAACCCCCTTCACCATCACCAGAATCCGAATCCGAATCCGAGTCAGATTTAGACTTTGAGGATGTGAGCTGTGAAGAGTGTGGATCTGGGAAGAATGCTCCAGATTTATTGCTCTGCGACGGTTGCGATAAAGGGTACCATTTGTTTTGTCTTAAACCCATTCTTGTTGCTGTTCCTAAAGGTTCCTGGTTTTGCCCACTTTGCTCTGGTGGCAAGAAGCTCAAAAGTATGTTTCTGGGTTCTCTTTATTTTGTGCGTTTTTTTTTTTCTCGTTCTCAATCGCCATTTTACATGATAATCAATTAATTAGCTGAAATTTGTGGGGGTTTGGATCTGAAGCGGCTCGATAATGGTTTATTACTGAAGTTTGTCAGATTTGCATGTTAATCTATTGTCCTATTCTTATAGGGTTTGGTCAGTTTTTGCATTAATTTGGTTAAAATTAATTGATAGTTGATTTGAGTTTCTGGGTTTTGATGATTTGGTGCAATAGCTTAACCCTGTAGGAATAAAATAAAATAAAATTGAAATTAGGGTTTGTCCTATTTTAATGATTCTAAATTTGGGCGAAAAAGTGAATGAAAGGGTTTATTGCTTCTTATTGGAGTGGAAATCTATAGTGCATTGCTGGAAAATGTTGTGAGGTATAACACATTGCATTTGCAAATAATAATAGAAGTTGAGTACTTCGCGTGTGAATATGGTATTGAATGTTGATATTCTATCAAGGGCTCTAAATGCCTGTGAAAATCGATTATCGGATTTGATTAATCGTCTTTTGTTGGATCGTTGCTAACATTACGGTTTCAATTATCGAAATGTTCGATGATTTTCATGTTGTTCTTTCTGTTCTTTAAATTATCTTGCTGTGATGTTTGATTTTAGCTGTGAGAAGTTTGCATTTCAGCTTTCTTATACTAAATTCTTTTCCTTTGGGCAGGATTTCCTTTAGTGCAGACTAAAATTGTAGATTTCTTCAGAATCCAAAAGCCACCTGCAGAATTTGAAAAGCCTATTGCAGGTAGAGGCCTAACCTGGTTGTAATGCACTCCAATTCTCCCAAACTTAATGTCCACTGCCATGGAATACAGTGATTGATTAGAATTTCTGATTGATTACAGATTCTCGCAAAAGAAGGAAGCGATCAAGTAGCTTTGTAGTATCAAAAAAGAGCAGGAAACTGTTGCCCTTCAACCCAACTGAAGACCCTAATCGGAGACTGGAGCAAATGGCATCTTTAGCTACCGCGTTGATGGCAACTGGGACAGAGTTTAGCAATGAGCTCACTTATGTCCCTGGCATGGCTCCTAGATCAGCAAATTGTGCTGCTTTTGAGGATGGGGGAATGCAGGTAATGCATACATGTTGGCTGTTAATTTTTTTTTTTTTTTTTTTTTTTTTTTTTTTTATGTTGTACCGCAAATAGAATAATCTATCTTTGAGATATGCATTAGTAAGAGAAATGTCATTGTGAATTGGATTCATCTTGTGGTGCCAAACATGTATTCACTGATGTGCAAGTATTCATTCAATAACGCTGAACTACAACTAGTTCATGTTGAGTTCTGGTATAGGTTTCCCAAGATGAACTAAACTTAGTGATACATTAAATAACTGCATCACAAACATTGATACATACTGCAAGAAAAGTTGAAATCCTAGAATATAGCTTTCTTATCTGAATTTGTCTGGGAAGAGTATTTGTTGCTAGTTTGAGCATTAATAGGCCTAAAATCTGTAAAAATCTAATTGTGAGAAGACTGAGAGCCATCCAAACATAATCTGCCAGTCTCCTTTCTTTAAGTGTTCTGTTTGTGAAGATATTTTGTAGGATCCATATTTGATATCGTGAAATGATAGTTTCTTATGAACTTGACATTAATCAGTCAGCGTTTTGCAGCATTATTGTCACTGTTGTAATCCAAGTAATTTCCCTGATCAATGTGAATTTCAAATTGGTTTAGGTCATGTCAAAAGAAGACACCGAAACCTTGCATCTGTGCAAGAAAATGATGGAAAGAGGGGATTGGCCTCCCCTTCTAGTTGTCTTTGATTCTAAAGAAGGGTAAGTAAACCTTTATAAATATTAGACTTGCATAATCCTCTTCCACTGGGGCAGAAAAGCAAGATCAACTAACAGTTAAAATTTAATCAAACAGGTTCACAGTACAGGCAGACAAATCCATCAGAGACTTGACAATCATCACGGAATATGTTGGAGATGTTGATTACCTCTGGAACCGTGAAAATGATGATGGAGATAGCATGATGACATTGCTTTCTGCTACTAATCCTTCACAGAGCCTCGTTGTCTGCCCTGACAAGCGCAGTAACATTGCACGCTTTATCAATGGCATCAACAACTACACTCCGTAAGCTCTCTCTCTTTTTTTTCCTTTTCGTTAATTGTGGCCTTTCTTTCGAGTTGGTGTAACCTAGACACTTGTAAGAATTTCTGATTTACTGTATTCTTCATAAATACAAGCCACATACTGTAAAGAAACTGAATTTACTTAATCAGGCTACGTTTGGTTAAAGGAAAACATTTTGAACTGAATTTTTTTCTCAACGGAGAGTGAATATCAATAAAATTTGAGTTCCTGAAAGAAGCTATTTTTCACCCTTGGGAGAAGCCAGTATCTTGGAAAAGGATTTTGCTTCCCTCCCAACAAATCACAGCCTTCATTCATAAACCGTTCCCACTTAGTTTAACTATATGATTCTGTATTAAGACCTGTATAATGGCTTGAAGTAACCAGTTTGTAATTGCTTTTAATGCAGGGAGGGGAAGAAGAAGCAGAACTTGAAGTGTGTAAGATATGATGTCGGTGGTGAATGCAGAGTTTTGCTAATTGCAAATAGGGATATACGTAAAGGGGAGAGGCTCTATTATGACTATAATGGACTTGAGAATGAATACCCAACTGAGCATTTTGTATAACATCTCCCTTGTTTGTTACCATCATACCTAACATAAAGATTGATTGAATTACTTCTGACCTTGAGCGGTTGAGCCCCATTTTTGGCTTCCCTGATGTTCCGAGTACAGTCTGTAAGCTGTATATGTAGTCTTTAGGTGTCTTCTGCATGTCAGTTCATAATGTAGAATTGTATTTCTTCTTGAGCAAATTTGAAAAATCAAAGTTAATTGCTGATGCATACTACAGTATTTTTTATCTTTTTTTTTAAAAAAAAAGTAAAAATAAAATTTTGTACGAGTATTAGCTAAATGAGCTAAATTTAAGCTAAAGCTCCAAAAAAATTTACAAAAAATTTGACAATCTTAAGGGGGCATTTTTCATTTGAGAATTGAGATTAATTCCATACACATAATCAATCAAAGCTTTAATTCCATAAGTAGGGTCGACTATATGAACAAAAATAGAGGGAATATTATAGGACTACTATAGGTGACATGTAGCACTGATGTAAGTCAACTCTACCAATTTGGCAAAGTTTCCTCCACAAAAGATGGCAAAATCAATTCTGAATTCTTAATTTTTCAGATCTTAAACCAGCTACTGCTGCTTCGTTGATATACAGTTCCTCTTTTCTGCAGTCTGCACACTTTGCCAAAATTCGCTCTTACATGTAAGTTTGTTTTTTTTAAAAAAATCTGAAATTGATGAATATATAGCAATTAGCAAATAAACATTACAAAGTATTTATTTAGAAGTAGCTTTTATATCTTTGCAATTTTATACTCGATTGTTTGTGGCTTTTAATGAATTAAACACTTTAACAATCATGAAATTGCTTCAATAACCATAGATTTATAAATCTTTTAGACCTAAGACTATTTAAGATAAGTTTATAACTTTTCATTCATATAATGAATGACACAAGAAGAACCATGATCGTCTGATTATGATGACCTAACAGCTGAAATTAGTTCTTTATTCTCATTTTAAGCTATGGTTCTCACTTCTCAGTTTCTCACCAGATCCTACTTTTAAATATTTGTAGTATAAGACTGGACCGAAAAATATAAATTTCATAAATTTTACAGTTATGTGATTATTTTTTTTCTTTTCAAATCCAATCTTATGTAGTAATACTTAGTCTTTGTTTGGATTATATTACTTTATTTGGAAAAAATATTATCTGAATTTATATCATTTTGGCTAAACGCATCTGATGAACTTACTCTTACTGTTTTTTTTTTTTATCATGTGAAATATAAATAAATTCGAAACATGAAGAAGATATACAATTCTACACTTTGATATACCATTGAGACTGCAGTCATAATCGCAATATGGACTATATATGACGAATCGTAATAGTAGAAATATAAAATCGTATTGACCCATTTTTATCATAACTTTGGCTATTAATATCTTTAATTACATATAATTTTGTAGTAAAATTTATAAAACATGACATTTATTCCAATAATATACTGTATATCAAGATAAATCTAACAATATTTTACTTATTACGACTATGAATCTTCAAGAAAAAGGAGACTAAACAGAGAGTAAGATGGGGGAAGCCATTGAGACTGCAGTCATCGAACTTGCTGTGAAGAAATTGGTTTCCCGAAGTTATCAAGAAATCAAGTCAGTTGTGGACCTCGAGTCTGAAGTGAAAAGGCTTCAGGAAACACAGACCATCGTTCAAGCTGCACTTATTGATGCAAACTTAATGCAAGAGGCAGCCATGTTCAACAAGACGTGCTCGAGAAGCTCAGCTGGGAGCTTAACAGGTTGGTGAACTTCTTGGATGCAAGAGCAGTTAAATCCAAGAATAATAAAGTCGTGGGTAGAAGTAGGTTCATCAAAGAGGCATGCTTGTTCTTTTCTACATCAAACCAGTTTATTGCTCGATTTAGAGATGCTCGGAATATCATAGATATAGGGAAGGAACTAGAATCCATTGCAAGAGACCATGCTCGGTTTGGTAGCATTGTTAGTGTACCATCTGCACACCAAACACATGCAGGAAGTGTTCAAACAGCTGGGTCTCACATTATCTCTGATGTAGTCATTGGGAGAGACGTAGAAAGGAACACCATCATAAGCATGCTTTCTGGCAACTACATTGCTTCAGAGACCCTCTCTGTTGCATCTATTGTTGGGATTGGTGGAATTGGGAAAACGACATTGGCTCGCTACGTGTACCATGATGAAAGGGTGAAATGCTGTTTTGATGTTAGGTTTTGGGTTGATGCAACTAAGGGATTTTATGTTGAAGAGGTGCTGAAGAAGATTTTAGCATCTGCTATGGATGAAATGCCTCGCAGGTGTGATATAGATCAGTTGTACCATCACTTCCTTGAAGCAATTGCTGGAAAGAAGTTTCTGCTTGTTTTGGATAATGTTTGGGACAAAGGATTTTTGAGGCTAATTTGGATAGAGTTAAAGAGATTGCTAGCATTTGGTGCCTATGGGAGTAAAGTTCTCATTACCACGCGTGATCAGAAAGTTGCTGCAACAATGGACTCTACCAGTCCTTACATGCTGGGGGATTTAACAGAAGACGACTCTTGGCAACTCTTTAAACAGATTGCTTTTACACAGATACAAGAGCCGGGTGTGAAGGCTATTGGGAAAGAGATTGCAAAGATGTGTCCTAATGTGCCTCTTGTTATAAGGAGTATCGGAGGCCTCTTAGCAGGAAAAATTACACTGAAGGAATGGAAGGCCTTTAGAAATGATCAGCTTGCAAATTTCTCTACCTATGGGCGTGACATTATGCATACACTTAAACTTAGCTATGACCAACTAGATGCAAAGCTGAAGCTTTGTGTTGCTTACTGTTCTTTATTTCCAAAGGGGTTTGAATATGATGAAGATGAAATGATTTGTCTCTGGATTTGTATGGGTTACGTAGAGCCACAATATAAGAACCAAAGCCTGGAAGAAGCAGGGGAAGCATATATGCTTGGCTTGCTAAACTGTGGCTTTTTCCAAAGACGTGATGGCTTAAAGATGCATGATGTGATGCATGATGCTGTTGTCATGCTCGCAGGACACAAGTATAAGATGGTTGATTCAAACACTGTAGAATTTGATGAAAGAGTTCATCATGTGTCTGTTGGCAATGTGGTGGACTCATCATGGGATGTCCTTTCCTCGCTCTCCAAAATTAAATACCTCGAGTCCTTCCTTGTGGTAACTAGGGAAATAAACTTATTAGCAACGAGGAACTGGTTCGTCTATCATAAAGTGATGCTTCCAAGATTTCAGTGTTTGAAGGTATTGGACCTACACGGGATATGGATAAAGAAGTTACCAACATCGCTAGGTGAGCTAATTTGCTTGCGACATCTTGACTTGTCAGAAACTGCTTTAGTGAAACTACCTAACTCAGTCCTGCGGCTGGTGAATCTACTATCACTTAAATTGTATTCGTGTATTAACCTTCAAGAGTTGCCGAAGGACATGAGCAAGTTAGTGAAGCTTAGACATCTTCAGTTAAGTGAGTGTTCGGAATTGACCCATGTGCCAAAGGGGTTGGGACATCTGACAGATCTTCAAACATTAAGCTTATTTGTAGTCAGTGAGAAAAGTTCGCGAAGTAAATTTGAGGCCAATGTTGTTGGTGGATTGGAAGAACTTAAGCACCTCAATCTGAAGGGAGAGTTGAGTATCCAGGTGTGTAAGCAGCCAAAGGATATAGTGTTGGGAGCTAGGGAGGCAAACTTGAGAAGAAAGGAGAAGCTCATAGACTTGTCTATTGATTTTTGGGATAGCACAAAAGAAGATGAGGCGGTGCTAGAAGGCCTGACCTCATGCCAACCTAAGATATCTAAAGATACAGGGTTATGGCGGGGAGAGATTACCAAGCTGGATGATTAATGATAATCTCCATTGCAGGCTTCCAAATTTGATTCAAATCAAGATATTAAATTGTAAAAGCTGCAGATACCTTTGTCACTTGGGAAGGCTCCCTTATTTAAAAGACCTATTTCTTGAGGGGTTAGATAATGTGGAGTACATAGAGAAGTATACTAGTAGTAGCAGCAATAATGCTAATGACGAAGCCTCTACTCCTGAGTCCATATTCCCCAGCCTAGAAACATTTCGGCTTAAGGGCATTCCCAAGTTGAAGGGATGGTGGAATATGTCGTTGAGTGGAGACCATGATTTAAGACAGCACCATGATGTTCAATATCAGAATCATCTGACTGAATGGAGGCCTGCATTTTGTAAACTGAAGGCCCTGACAACAGACAGCATAGAGTTGGCAATTACAATAGCCAAGGGGCCGGGCTTTGCTTCTCTTGAGCATCTCTATATTAAGCACAATTCAAGAGTGTCTCTACCTTTGTGTGAACAACAAACACTAACCCCACTCAATACTTGCTTTCCCAACCTCCGTTGCTTGCAACTTTCAGGTAATCCCAAGATAGAAGCTCTCCCTGACAAAATTCAAGACCTTTTCTATCTTGAATACCTGCGTATCGACAACTGTAAACAACTGAAGGCTATACCAGAGTGGATTGATAGCCTCAGGTCCCTCACAAGCCTCTATATATGGGAATGCCCCAGACTAGAATCCCTACCGCATGAGATAAGCAATCTCTCCAACTTGAAGTTGCTCGGAATCAGTAAATGCTCTGCAGTGCTCACAGAGAGGTGCCGGTGCAAGAATCCAACTGGGTTGTACTGGCCTTTCATTCAACATATCCCTTACATAAACATACGACTTTCTAATCGGAATCCAACTGGTGAATACTGGCCTTACATTTAACATATCCCTTAAGTAGTTACTTAGACATACGTCTTTCTAGTCCTCCCTTACCACCGCTACCACCACCACCGACTCCGACGACCTCGACGAAGATCTCAGCTTTCTCGACGCCGACGCCGACGATGACACCGACAACGTCACCTTCCCCACAACCCCGACGATCACGATTTTCGAAACTCAAACATGGGGGGTGCAGTGGGAGTTGATTTAAGGGAAAGGGTTTGGGGTATTAGCCGGTTTCGGTGCTAGGGCTGGGGAAGGGGGTCGTTGCCGGTTAGATGGTCGGGGAAGGGGTGGTTTGGGGGACTGCGGCTGTGCGGCAGGGGGTAGAAGGTGGCGGTTGGGGCTGGACAGCTGGGCTGCGTTGGTTTTTCTTTTCTTTTTTTTGTAATGGCTAAATTTAAGCTAAAGCTCCAAGATTTTTTACTATCTTAAGGTGGCATTTCTCAGTTGAGAATTGAGATCAATTCCATACACAAATTCTCTGTATGGGATTTAGTCCCTGACTAGTATGGAAGAATTCGACAATTAACATGTTAAAAGTTCCTCAGTGAGGGTTATAAGATTAAACCTACAGCATTTGTTGCCAATGATGGTATGTTACATCTAGGCAGATCATATTATCACATACTGACATCTTAACTAGCTAATGATGACAATCTTCATGAATCTTATATTCGACTTCATGAACTATGGAGCTTCTGACTCTAGAGTACATTTAGAGTACAAGTAGGTGGTATAAGCGTATAACATTATTATGGAACGCAGAGAGTATGTGATGAAAGACATATCTCTTAACTCGTATGCAGTATATATGAGGCTTTAGGAGAAAGCCGTGAACCTGCATATTTGGAGGACTCTCACAGGTGTCGCAGGTCCAAAAAAACGCTTTACATTCTCTTCTCTTAGGCAGAGTTTACAACATCAATGCAACATTGTGAGGTTTTATGCTGCCAAATCTACAGCAAGATTATGAATCTGAACTTGGGCTGAATTAGATCTAAACAAAAGCCCACATACAAAATAGGCTTAAAGGCCCATTGTACTCCCTACAATCTTGGGCTTTTAGCCTATATTGACTTCCCTCCTTGGCCCCTCCACCATAGGAAAAATATTGCAGTTTATTTTGATATTTTCAAACAGTAGAATGCATGGGATTCTGGTATTTTTGTCCAAGTATATGTTGACAAAGTTCTGAAATTAATCTGTACCAATTTATGATTATATTCCAAATCTCAATGCCAAATGCCCTCCCAAACAATCATATTTGTGTAGAAAAATACAAACTCAAGACTTGTTCTTGTCACCACTTCACTGGCTACTCAAGTCCTACAACATCAGAGCCGACACCAAAACAGATACATATAAGCAATAAATATTAAATATACAGAATATTTCTCTCGTATATCAAAACAACGGATACATATAAGCAATAAATATTAAATATACAGAATATTTCTCTCGTATAATTAGTTACAAATAAGAGTTTATGACAAAATCATGCATTATTGAAAATAAAACGTTTACTTGTTCTACATTGAAAAAAATTACTTAATACTTAAACATTACGCTAGGTTACGTTTAACATTTTCTGTAGAGAAATATCATTTCAAACAATTATTAAGAAAAAGGACTGTCAGTCAAGTCTGGGCTCGACTTGCATCTTGCTAACAAACTCCAATTTTCAAAACCACTTCATATGCTACACTCCATACAATATTATTGGACCACCCTACCCTATGAAAAATGTGTTATAGAACTGAAAATTTTGTGAGTAAATATTTTAGGGTGGTCCAAATTTTTATTGGGTTTCTCAATAAAAGACTTCAAAGTCCATAATAATACTTGTAAAATATATATATATATATATATATATATATATATATATATATATATATATATATATATATATATATATATATATATATATATATATATATATATATATATATATATATAAAAGAAATTGAAGAAAAAGGAGAGGGAACTTGATTGTGTTTGTCAACCATCTTCCAGAGAGCTTTGATGTATGGGATCAAATCAGATGTATCCCCACAAAGTGTGGTCCAATGCACCCCCCTTCTTAGCTGGAAGGCGTGGTTACCATCTGATCTTAATCAAATGGTCCAGATTGCTTTAATCAGGTCCCCTACAAAAACTCACAAGGTTTGTATATTTTGTGTGTACTTGTGTTTGGGTGTTACAAGCAGGCTAGGAGATCATCTGTCATCCCTCACAGATTTTGTATCAGAAATTTAGAAAAAAAACTGTTGTAGGTGATTCATTTGGTCCCTCACTTGATTCATCACCCGTCGTCGATTTATATAATATATACCTATTCTTTATTTAGCAATGCATGTAAATTAAGTGTTGTACGCTGGTACAGGTTGCAATTGACTTGTCATCCGCAGCGTGGAATTGTTACGTTGATAGATAGGGCTTTTAAAGCATGAGTAAGGTCATTGACGACTTTTATGTGCATTATTGTTACTTAAATGGCAACAGCTATAATTCTACTCAGATGTGTACATGACAGGATGGAGTTTGTCACGGTGCAATTAAGTCGTAGGACATACAATACCTTTACATGCGTTTATATGCATTAAAAATTCATTTCATGTACGCGTAAGATATGTAATATAGATTTTGACGTATCAGCTAATTAGACTGTCGATCACGATCATAAAATATGTAAGAGCTAGCTAGCACGTACGCGTTCGACTTCTTTCCTTGCCCTAGTGTTATAGTGGTCCTAAAATAGGTTATGCTCTCCTTGGAAAAAGCTCATTTAAGCAAATTGATTGTATTGCTGTTACTTCTTGTTGGGTGTGTCCTTGTAGTAGTTCTATACTGTTTCTTGCCAGGTTGCCACTAAATTGAATTGCAACCTTAAAACAATGCACATATGATATAGGATTCGTTTTGCATGTCTGCTTTTTTTGGCTAATGACTTTTGATTTTTGGACAATTTTTGAGTCCCACTTTTTTCATTCTTCCATTATACTTCTTATTCATATAATTTCTTTTGTATATATGAAACTTGTTGCACCTTGTTCTAAGTTGATTTCCAACTTCAAAACCAGTAATAATGTATAGGCTTAATAGTGAATATCGTAGCCAGTTTCCTTATACATACCACGTAATGGGCATTAGCTGATCAAATGGTACAATTCAAGCATTATACTTTCAACTCTTCCACGTGTCACTGGAGTTATTTAGTTAATCTAAGGTGGTTCGACTTTTGATAAGACGGTAAAAAATTAGTAAAGTATAAAATCAATTCTTAGGTTTCAATCATCATCAGTTAAATTTTTGGTTGAGCTAATAATTTGACATGATTTTAACAACCTATAAGAAGGTTAGGGGTTTATCTCATCCACATAACAAAATTCATGTTTTATCCAATTTCAATCTCAAATGGTTTGAGTGGGGACATGATAAAGTATAAAACCAATCCTTAAAGTTCAACCATTACGTTAATTTTTTTATTGAGTTGGCTAATTGTTACTCGTATTTGTTTAACTAGTTTACGTGTTCTAATTAAGAGTGTGTGGGTTAAACCATTGTCAAATATGCCAGCACTTATCATTTATTTGTCAGTATTTGTATTTCCAATTAGTTAGGGAAAGAAATTAGTTGGGATACATGACTAATTCCGATTTATTTTTCCCTGGAAGATGATTGGGAGGTGGCAGTGGCACCCGCTTTCATTATGAGATGACCCTAACACAAGGACTTTGTACAATTGTACGTATTCATCAAGGACAGGATATGCATTAGGTATTGCTATGAATTAAAGTATAGAGCACAAATATGGAGAATCAATTATATTGTACACCTTGCTATTTTTAAGTCAATTTATGGCCATATGTCAAGGTTTGGTGACTTTGAGCATATTTGGCAGTCCGCAATAAAGTTTGATCGACGCAATTTAGCAATAGTAGATATCAACTACGAGTAACATAATTAGTTTTTATATTATCTTAAGTGGTATTTAATGCTTAAAATCAAAGATTAAGCATGTCAAGTTAAATTATGAGCGTTCTTAAATCTATCTACATGTCAACATCTGTGCTACAGGCCAGGAGTATTCTAATAACATTAACTCCATATTATGTGTGTTTGGGTCCAATTTAGTCCAATTGGGCCTAAGCACTAAATGATCCAATTAAAAGCCCAAGGTCAAGGTTCAACTCTCCAATTGTGCTAAAGTCAAAGGTCAGCCCACAAAGCAAGCCAATTGGGCTAAGGCCCAACCTCTCCATGTATGATGAGGTATAAAAGCCATCATATTGATACATTCAAGGGGGGATTCATATTCTGATTCATAGATTCATACGTTCATTCATATATTCAGAGATACTCCATAAAAGCCTCAAGCAACAAACTCTCTTGCATAGTGTCTTCTTCTTACACATTGTACTGACTTTAGCATCGGATGGGCCTTCCTCGGCAACACCCCCGAGGCTAGTTTACGTGTGTTTACTGTGCAGGAAATATTCGGCCCAACATAACTTGGACCGAATCCAGCCTTCTCCATTTCAGCGGACCTTCGGCAAGGTCCCATTGTTTTCACCCGAAACAATTTGGCGCCGTCTGTGGGGAAGACTTTCAAAAATCTTTAAGCCAAATTCCTAACCAAGATCATCTTGCAATTATCTTAGCAGCAATGGCTAAGAACCGCAAGAGCAAAAGCCTCCGTCAAGGAGCGGGCGAAAAGCCTAAAACCCCTACACCATCGCCCTCGCCGGACCGGAACTCTCCCAAGGGTGCCGGCTCGGGGGGAGGATCATACAAGGCCGATCATAGGACATACTCAGCGTCCCAAAGCCAACCATCGGCTGCGCGCCCTCATTCCCACACTCGGCCGAGGACCCCTTTGACGGGGCCCAGCTCGGAAGAGGTGGCAAGAGCGCTGGCAGTACTCATGGAGGCGATGAGGGCACAAAATATGCCACCACCTCGTGATCGAACTCCTCCGCATACCCGGCATCAGCGGA